AAAAAGTCCATGTGAAACAGAAGTGTTCTTTGTTTCATTTTTTCATCAAAACGAGATAGAATTTATGACAAATAAAGAAAAAGGGCAAAATGAATCAATTGTGTTCATTGCATAACTGAAATTTGTGGTTATATGTAGACAGTTATATATATATACAGGGATTATAGCTGGTCCACTACAAGAATATGTTTGTGTGTATATAAATATATGTTCTTTTTATTTATCAATTGCAGGTGTGAATAATATAAAGACACATTTGCAAATATGTATGTGCATATGTGTATGATATTAAACAAAACTCCTATTTCATTACCAAAGGTAAAGTATTTCTCCAATGATTGGTTAATCTTTGTCGAACTTTGTTTGGATCAATCTCATCATTCACATGTTCCAGGAGCATCCATTTCTGACTTTATAGGGATTTCTCACAATTAATGCTTAAAAATAGGCCAGAGATCCTCAGAAATCAGAGAATCCAGTTAGGAGACTGAAGTAAAGAAGATGCTTTCACAAGATGAAACAGAATTATAGTTTTAAGAAGAAAGTACAGAAATGCAAATTTTGATGAAAAGGTAAAATTAATAAATGCTTAAAATTCTAATCAGCATTATTGGGCCAGTTAGATTATTATTTTTTGTTATTCTAGTTCTAGTTGGCCTGTGGGACTTCTAGCTAGTCAGAGCTGACTAAACAACACAAATTTTGGACCTTGAAATATGTCTAATGTAAGCACAACAAAGGATCTGTTGATCCATCCAGGCCATCCTATCCACTTTACTAAACTCTGAATTTTGATAAAGCACTCAAAGTCAGCCCTTACAATCCAAATATTTATCAGGCCTTCTCTTAATCTCTTTCAAATGAACAGTATCCACCACATATGAAGGCAACTGCTTCCAAAGACCAACCATCCTGTTGGAAAAATAAAGCTGTCTTAGCTGAAGATGACTCATACCCTGCCAAGATTTATATTTCTACCACTAGTTTTACTATTTTCACCATTAAACATGAAAAAATGATGCATCAATACTATCAATTCCCTTAACAATCTTAAAACACCAAAAAAGAAGAGTTAGAGGGGATCTGATTGACAAGACAATCTTTCTATCCCAAATATCATTCTAGTAGTCCTCCTCTGAACCTTTTCTAACAATACAATGTCTTTTCTTAGGTAAGGAGCCAAAGACTGAACACAGTACTCCTATATGACCTAACCAGTGATCTATACAATAACATTATATCTTTTGATACAACCTAAATTCTCATTTTCTCTGCCATTAGCAACAACACATTGCTCAGATGGCTTGAGAGATTAAACAGCCAGAACACCAAGATCTTATTCTTCCATAACATTGTCAAGGTCATTCCCATCAAAATTATACACATACTCGTAGTTTAAATTGTGGTATCCCACATGCATTAACTTATTATGAGTTAAAGTGAACTTCCATTTATTCAACCAACTCACTAAATAATTTGAATCGTTTTGTAAAGCAGCATCCTTCTAACAGGCAACAACATCCAAACCTTAATATCATCAGAAAGTTTAAATAATTTATTGACCATTCCTCCATCTATGTCACTGATGTAATTCAAAAAAGAACAAAGTTCATAACACTGAGCCCTGAAGTACCTCATTTGTGACATTAAGCCAGTTTCACTGACCTCTGTTTATAACAGCTCTCTGCTTTCTTCCATCCAAACAGTTTTCTGCCCAATGAGCCAACCTATCCCCCACACCTACAGAGATAGTTTTTTTTAAACATGCTTTTATGTGGTACCTTGTCAAATGCTTTCTGAAAATCCACACATTTACCCTAATCTGCATAAGCAGTAGCAAAATATTAGGATGGGAGTAGAGCCTTTGAGGAATGACACAGAAAGACCTGTATCTGGTGATTATGAGATGGCTGGGTTATTAAAATCTACCTTTTCTTCACTTTTGCTCTTGAAGAAGATTTAACCAATATTCCTTATCCTGAACAGTTGCTAGATGGAAACAAGATTGAATAAGATGATCAGATTAATTCTGAGCTTGTAAAAAAAATAAAAAAAATTGAAGTATAAAGACAGATAAGTCCTCTTGGCCAGATAATATTTCCCAAAGGGTTCTGAAGGAGGTTAAGGATTGAATATTTAAGACACTTGCTACTATTTTTAGCAAGTCAGTGAATAGTGAGTAGGTAGCTGTCAGAAGATTTTAAGTTGGTTAAAGTTACTCCTCTTTTTCAAGAGAGGTGATAAAAGTTGTCCCAGTAATTATAGGATTATTAGTCTCACATCAGTGGTCCAAATATCTGATAAAATATGCTTTGCAAAACCATTTAACAATGTATAAAATGTTGTTGGATAGTTATGGTTTCATTAGGAGAATATCTTGCGTTACTAATTCTTTGACAATCTTTTAGTAAGTTACTGCCTATGTAGTTAAAGATGAGTGTGTTTTTTGGTCTTTTGTGAAGAGAATTCTGATGCTTTACAAAAGGACTTAGAGTATTTGGTGAGTTGGGTATATAAGTAACAGGTGGTTTTCAATTATGATACATGCAAGTTGGTGCATGTGGGTTATTATACTTTGTTAAAATTTTCATGTATATAACATTAACAGTTTTATGGATGAAAAAAAATATTGTTGTTCTGGTTGATCAGTCTATTAAGCCATCCAAGCAATGTGCTGTTGCTAGTGACAGGAAAAATATGATTTTATGTTTTATTTACAGAAATATTGAATATATGGCTCTAATTTGATTGTATAGGTCACTGGTTAGGCCACATTTGAAATATTGTGTTCAGTCTTAGGCTCCTTACTTTAGGAAAGACATTGAATTGTTGGAAAGGGTTCAGAGAAGAGTTACTAGAATGGTGCCTGGGATGGAAAGATTGTAATTTCAAGGACAAATTAAGATCTATGAAACAATTTTTTCTTGAAAAAGAAGACTTATAGGAGATCTAAATGAGGTGTTTAAGATTATCAAGGGAATTTTTAATGTTGATGAATAATCTTTTGTCATACTTAAGGATTAGAATTTTGTAGCTAGTGGATGTGTATATGTTTTGGCAGGATAGGAGTCATCTTTGGATAGGACTTGTT